GGGGGGCGCGGGAGGCCGGGGCGCGGGAGGGCGGCCGTTCCCTCCCGGGAGCAGAGCGGGCGAGGGTCCCGCGCCGCCGCCCGCAGCCTCCGGCCGGCGGGGCCGCCGCAGCTCCGGAGCCCGCCCGCCCGGGGCCCGGCTGCGGTGGGGGAGGGGGCCGCGCGCTCTCGGGCCCCCGGGAGGGGAGGAGAGGGCAGGGGAGGGGAGGGGCGGCGATTTCTGACCGCCGAGCCGGAGGGGGTTTAGAGCGCGGCTCTTAAAGGGGCCGCGGGAGGGGCCTGGCGCGCACGGGCGCCCCCTCCCCGGGAGCCTGAGCGGGCGCTCGGCGGCGCGGCCCCAGGATGCGGAGGAAGGCAGCTTGGGTCGCACGGCCGGGGTGTGTGGGGACACACGGGAGTCCTCGAGTGGGGGTGGCCCGAGGTCGTGGCCGCGGGGCGGGGGGGAGGGTCGGCGGGGACGGGGTGTGTAGTGAGCGCGGGCTCGGCGGAGTAGAGGGAGGGGGTGGCGCGGGCAGGAGAGGGTTAAAGGCGGGGCCGGCCCTCGGAACACGCGCGCCCGCTCCTTACTCAGACCTGTCACTCGCGTCCCTCCGGCACTCAGCCGAGGTGGGGGATGGAGGGATGGAGGGGGCCGAGGCCTGGCGCGCTCGGAACTCGCGCCTTCGGACCGGGCCCCCCTCGCCGAGGAGGCGCACAGCACGCTCGGAGCGCGCGCCCGCGCGCGCACACGCACATACACACCACACACACACACACACACACACCTCGGACATTCCCATAGTGCCTCACGTGACACTCGGCCCGAACGTGCCCACCCTGCCTACACGCTCACGCACGCGTGCTCACAGGCGCGCGCGCACACACACACGCCGCCTCTGGCCGCTTCCGAACTCCGCGCTGACCGCTTCCCTCCCCACCCCTCGTCCTCCGGCCCCGCAAAAGCGCCCATTGACGGCGGCACACCTACACTCATTCACAGACGCGCACTCCCCCCACATGGCAGCCACAGCCACCACACATTCATCAGCAGGGCCGGGAGAACTGCACACTGCACCCCCGCAGCCCCTCGCTGCCTACTCCTTTGGGAGCCCTGAGTCATTCCTGCCCCCATCCCAGGGCTCCCCCATCTCCCCGAGTTGCGGGGCACAGTAGGACAAGCTGGAGTCTCCCTTAGTGGTCCCGCCTGGCTCCCTCGCCCAGTTTGCTGCCTCTGTCACTCGGCCAAGGACTTCCTGTAGGTCTGCGCCTGGCCTGGACGCTTGCCACAACCCCAGTGCAGTTGGGGAGGCACTTCCTTTTCCTGAACTCTGGGATCCTGCGGGAGGAAGTTGGGTGGGGGCCGCAGAGTGGTGGGACCGGCCCTCTAGAAACGCTGGCCTTCCTTAGGAGCAGGCCACGGAGGCCTGGCATGGGAATCTTGGCGGCTGTCGAGGTACTTGGGGAAAAGGGGAAGTCTGGGGAGAAGACCAGGCTGAGCAGTCCAGGCAGGTTCTGGGCCTTGCCAGCGCTGGGGTCCCCCCATCCACAGGTCTCTCTGGGTTCTGGGATGAGCCCTTCCCTGCTGCTGGTGTAGCTTCCTTGACCCCGTTTATCGGTTGTCCCTCGCTGACTCCCCTCGTGAGGTCTGTCTGGCTCCATCTCCTTCCCCTATAAGCAGTGACAACAGAGGATAGGACGGAAACTTCTGAGAGAGGGAGAGAGAGAGAGTTGTGGGATCTGGTCTTTGGGCTGAAGCTTTACAGCTCCTCCATCAGGCCCTCAGACCAGCATGGAGAAGTTGGGGACAAGCACCAGGCGGTCTTCCTAACGCTGTTCCTGCTTTCAGGAGGTCCCGTGTGGGCCGAAGCCCTTACCATGGAGTCCATGTTTGAAGATGACATCAGCATTCTGACCCAAGAGGCCTTGGGGCCCAGTGAGGTGTGGCTGGATGGTCCAGGAGACCCCTCTCTGGGAGGGGACATGTGCTCTGCCTCCCACTTCGCTCTCATCACAGCCTACGGGGATATCAAGGAGAGGCTGGGGGGCCTGGAGAGAGAGAATGCCACCCTCCGACGGCGCCTCAAAGTCTATGAAATCAAGGTCAGAACCTGGGGGGTGATGGCAGGTGGTCTGGTCATGCTGCAGGGATCCAGGGAGGCCTTGGAGCGGCTGCTAGGGTGTGAACTGGTGCGAGCTCTCCTGTAGCCAGTCTGAGGGTGGAGGAGGAGGCTGGGCTCTGGAGTGGTGGGTCCCACTGAAGAGTGCAGGGAGGGGAGTCTCCCCGACAGGCTCCTCTGAGGCATGCTGTCCCACAGTACCCGCTAATCACTGATTTTGGAGAGGAGCACGGCTTCCCTCTGTACGAAATCAAGGATGGCTCCCTGCTGGAGGTGGAGAGAGTCAGTCTGCAGCAACGGCTCAACCAGTTCCAACACGAGGTAAGCCCGTGGGCCTTGGCTTCCCAGTCAGCCCGGCTCCCAAAGCTCCCTATTCCTTCTGTTTATGATGCCCGTCATCTTGCCCCATTCCTCCCCTCCCCCGCCCCCATCACGGCCTCTGCCCTCCCTAAACCAGCTTCAGCTCTTCCTGTTTCTATTGGGAATAGGGTTGGGGAGGTTCGGGGAGCCCCCGTGTGCCCTGTCAAGGATGGCCCTGACCCTGGCATACGTCTCTGCGCCTACCCAGTTGCAGAAGAATAAGGAACAGGAGGAACAGCTCGGGGAGATGATCCAGGCTTACGAGAAACTCTGTGTGGAGAAAAACGACTTGGAGACAGAGCTGGGGGAGATGGTAAGGCCCAGAGCGGGGACGGTGAGGTCCCTGACACCGTGTGGTTCTGTATGAGGAGCCCAGCACTACGATCGCCTGTGTGTCACACACAGCCCGCTTGTGTCCCTACCACCTGCGCCGTTTGCCTCGTAGTGAGACGTGTCAGCCAGGTCACGGTGGCTCTGTGCCCCTGGCGGTGCAGTGACCCCGTACGTGTACATTTAAGCTCCCCACTGCATCGACCCTGGACCTAGAGTTCCGCGTCTGGGAGAGGGCGCGGGTGACAGTAGAGGCGCGCCGAACTCTAGAGAGAGATGCTGGCGTGAATGTGGTGGCAGTTAGCGTGTGACCGTGTGTGTGTGTGTGTGTGTGTGTGTGTGTGTGTGTGTGTGTGTGTGAGAGAGAGCGATCGTGTGGGTGTGTGGCAGGGTCGGCAGGCACGGTCTCTGTCCACGCCTCGCCGGGGCCTTGGTCCGATTATTTAGCTTCCGTCCCTCATCTGAGAGGCAAGGTAAGTGGGAACCACCTCGCTGAGCTGCCGTGAGGGTAATGGGACGTTTGTGGAAAGCCGCCTTCCTTTTATAGTCTGGAACGGTTCGGGAGGCGTCTGCTGCCTGCCAGGCAGGCACCGTTCTCCCTCTAGCACACTTACTCGTTTTAGCTCTCACAACAATCAGAAGGGGTAGGCGTGGTACTGCTCTCCCCGTTCCGTGCTCGAGGTAGAGGAAGCCATACATGCAAGTGGGGGTTACATTCCTGGGGGGGGCGTGTAGGCCGGACCTAGAGCTCGTGTAAATGTCCCCGTGTGATCGTGTCTGAGAGCAGCAGGAGCCAGAAACATCTGAGAGGAGGCCCCGCACCTGTGGTCACTTGGCGTGTGATTGTGGGACACTCCAGCCGTCTCTGCTCCAGCCTGGGGGACTCTCGGGGCTCCCTGGCCCCGGGGAAGGCCCTGAGCCCCCTGCCTTTCCCTGCAGCGGGCCCTGGTGGAAACCCACCTTCGGCAGATCTGTGGTTTGGAGCAGCAGCTACAGCAGCAGCAAGGCCTCCGGGACACAGCCTTCTCCAGCCTGAGCCCTCCACCGGCCCCCGCCACACCCTGCCCTGACCTGGACCTGCACTATCTGGCTCTGAGAGGGGGACCTGCCTTGGGTCATGGTGAGAGCTCAGTGACCCCGGCCTTCCCGATCAGTCTCCAACTGTAACTTTCATTTCAGTATCGCTGGGCACCTCTGGCTTGCCTGAAGTCTCAGTACAGTGTGTTTGTTTATTTCTGTTTGTTTGTTTTTGTTTTCTTTTGAGGTAGGGTCTTACCACATTGCCCTAATTGGTCTGCAATCGACCACGCACGCCAGGCCATCCTTGAACTTGGAATAGTTCTCCTGTTCTGGCTCCCCAGTGCTGCCCTTAAATATCTTAAATTCGTTCGCTGTGGTTCCATTCTCCTCTCCAACTAACTGTTCCTTCACCTCAACTACCCTTTTCACAAGTTCTCCCACTGACATCCCTTGGCTGTGTAGACGCATGCAGTTCTTGGGTGTGCCAGCAGAGGGCGTGCCCACCCAGAGTCCCCTTAAGCTGTGATTAGGAGAGGCCCCTGAAGATGCTCCAGACTTGTGTGGTTCTACACTCAGATACCTTCCAGAGGCCATCTTGTTTCCCCCTTGGCCTCCAGGATTGAATCTGCAACAATCCCTTTTTTCCCTTGTAATAGTATCTCTTGTCCTTGGGTGTTTGTCTTTCTGGTGCCTCTCAGTTCCGTGGGCTCAGTCCCTACCCTGCCTGTTTTACTTTGTGTGGTCCTGGGGAGGCGGTGGAGGCAGCTAGAGCCTACCTGACCTTGTCTCGTCTCCTGACAGCAGGTTGGCCTGGCCCTACCAGTGTAAGTGTGGGTGACCTGGAGCGGAGGCGGCTGGAGGAGGCCCTGGAGGCCGCGCAGGGCGAGGCCCGAGGGGCTCAGCTCCGGGAGGAGCAGCTCCAGGCGGAATGTGAGCGGCTGCAGGGAGAGCTGAAGCAGCTGCAGGAGACCCGCGCCCAGGTAAAGGGAACTTGAGCGCTTCCCTCAGATGTCCAGAGCACAGAAGAGCAGAGGAGAGGGGGTCTGGATGGGGATGAGCCTGGGCTCTGACCTCTTGCTTTTCTCCTCAGGATCTGGCCTCCAACCAGTCGGAATGTGACATGGCTTGGGTGAAGAGAGTCGGGGACGATCAGTGAGTCCTATCTGTAGCCCTCATCCTCTCAGCCCCTCACGCTACGGGACTATCCCGGCCGGGTCTCCGTCGATTGCTTTCCATCTGTCCACGTGATTTGAGTGACCTCTCTTTCTGCGTCTTGGGGTGCGGTGTCTGGGTTGCTTACCACCCTACCCCTGTTTCAGGAAACGGGGAGGGGCTCTGCAGTTTGCAGGCTCTGGGACCAGGCCCATCTCTTCTCAACGTGCTGGGTGGGAGATGGACCATGGCCCCTGTGGCCCCGTTCTGTGTTCTCTAGTGAGTTTTCTGTACCAGAAACAAGATCTAGTGCGTTCATTCACCTCCTCCTTACTTGTAAGAAGGGAGGCAGCCTCCCTCGCTTAGGATTTCACCTGCTCGTTTAAAGGGAGGGGTCCTTGAGATGGCTAGAGAGTAGACTTCACCTTGGAATCGCAGAGGAGAGAGGGCATCAGAAGCAGAAAGAAGCTGTGTCTGTGGGGAACATGACAGCCGCCTGGTGCTTATCCTCACCCGCTCTGAGAAACAGTGTTTAAAGCTCCCTGGGCTTAGTTCCTCTCCCATGAGATGAGGGAAGGGGGGCACACTTCATACGTTCCTTACCAGAGAAGACTGAGGCCCAGAGAGGCCCAGGAGCTAACCCTCCCTCACACAGCACGCCCAGTTCTCAGGATCCCAGGGGCCCTCCCTCCCTCCAGGTTTCCTCAGCATCCGACCAGCTTCTGGCCAGCTAGGGGTACCCTTGCTTCCTCCCCCCACCAGGGTGAGGGCCTGGGTGGAGCTGTGACAGCCAAGAGGGTGAGAACCCAGTTTGTGGGGGGAGACCCCTCCCTCAGCTAGGCTTCTGTGGGGGTTAGGAGAGAGTTCTTCGAAAAGGGTCCGCCCTAGCTTGTGGCTGGGGTTCTCGGACCGTTGCAGCCCATGAGTTCAAACCTGGAACACACTCACCCACATAGTGTAGATCCTTGCTCATCCCAGAAGTCATGCCGAAGGCTCCCTTAGGGGTTGGCGATTCCAAACCCTTCTCTTGGTAAAAGGCCCCCCACTTAGTGGACCTCACAGGGCTGTGGTGTAATCATGTGGGCCTTGATCCTTTGATCACTGGGGTCTAGGGAAAGGCTTTGCCTTCTTGACTTAGCTTTTACCTCTCTGGACCCTGGCTTCCCCTGCTGGGCTCAGGAGTCAGCTGTTGCTGATGGATGTGAGAGGAAGGTGAGCTAAAACATGGGGAGGGGCAGAAGGAGAGGCGGGTCAGATAACACCATCTCAGAAGGTGTTTTGGAAGCTGTGTCATCCATATTGCTTGTCCTGGGCCAGTCCCTTCCCTCCCAGCCCGGGGGAGCCTGGTTAAGGTGATTCCCTCACAATGCGCCAAGCTCTTAGATTTGTCTGTGGCTTCCTATGCCATAGCCCTACCTGGATCTGTCTCGGTCAGCCTGCTCCTTCCTTTAACCTAAATGCTTCTGGACAGCCCCAGTGTGGCAGGATCAATTCTCAGAGGAAGTCCTCATTCCCCTGGTACTTTTATTTTCTTATAAATCCAGCCTCTTTTGGTAACAGGCAGTTCCCTGGGGCTCCCTGCCACCCTCCTGCCTAAGGATGGCTCAGTCACCTCTCTCCAGCTCCCAGGATTAGCAATCCTCCTTTTCCATCTACATCGGCTGACTCCATGTTGAGTGGGAATTTTACTGATGGGCTTTCCTGGGAATGAAATGTTGGCACTAAGTTACCGGGGCGGGGGGTGGGAGTGGTTCCTGAGTCCAGCCTGGCTCTAGATATAAAGGAATCTTCCTATCTTGAAAGGTGCCTTCAATCTGAGCACATTTGCTGGGGCACCACATTGATCGCTGTGATCCTCCAGTCATACATCTCCTTTACACCAGTCTTGCCTGCGTGAGCCCCATCCTGGTGCTGTCTGAGCGGGCCTTGGAGGCCTGCAGTCCCTTGTCCTCAGCTCCTGGCCCACAAACTCCTAACCGCCAGTGATTCACAGCAAGCAGGACTGACCCCAGGCCAGGCAGACCAGGCTGCCATTCTGCAGGTCTAAAATTCTCTTGGATAGCTTGCTACCTGGTGGTCATAGCCCAAAAGGCCTAAACGGCCACAGAGGAAGGGCATTGATGGAGGCAGGAGTAGTTCACTGAGCTTTTGAGGATGTCCAGGGGGTAAGGACCCAGGAAGGTCCCAGTCAAGGTGACATGTGTGGGAACCCCATGGTCCCCTCCCCTCTGGGCCTGTGGATTCCTGGGAGGGACTGTTTGAAACTATGGCCGCTGTGGGGGAAACAGAGAAATTTTAGAGTCACTCCCTGAGGGAGAGAGGGCTCCAAGCAGACAGTGGCTCCGGAAGGTAGATGGGGTCTTGCTGGTGAGGGGCCCCGGTGCAAAGATGGGGTTCTCTGGATGACGAAGGGTAAACCATAAATTGTAGGCTTTTCTTTTTTTCCTTATGTGGGGGGCTCAGGGCTGCAACCTGGGACCTTTTCCGCCCACTCCTCCCACCCCCCCTCCACCCACAAGCCTCCGCCTGGGCTGTGGTTAGTGGTGGGGAAGTGTGAACTCAGAAGAGAGAGGATGGAAACTCTGCACAGAGGTCAAGGGCAGTGTGGGGTGGGCCAGGACGGAAGTCGGAGACCCCCGTGTACCCTGAGCTTAGCCTCCTGCCCCCAGAACCAGTAGGCCCAGGGCCTCCTCCTCCCGCTTCTCACCCTCCCTACTTCCTTTCTTTCAAGTCTCTTTCGGCCTGATACCCAGAGCACAAAGAATTAAGGCCTGAGCACTGGCAGCCGCAAAGCACCCTGAGGGTGGGCAGGGGTTCTGCCAGCCTGAGGGGCTTACACCATGTGAGCCGAGAAGGCATTTCCACTCTTGTGCCTGCCAGCTGAGCCCTTCACTCTCCCCGGAGAGGGCACGTGCACCCTCCCTCCCTCTCCATGACCAAGTGGTCTTTGTTGTTCTTTGAGTTTGGGTTTGGTTTTTGTTTTTTTTGAGAGAGAGGTTCACATAGCCCAGGCCATCTTGAACTTGGCTAGCTAGCTGAGGACGCCTTTAAATTCTTGTTCTCCTGGTTCTGCCTCCCAAGTGCAAATATTACAGCATGGACTACCAACCTTTTTTTTTTCTTTCTTTTCTTTTGTCTTAGTTTGCTTTTATTCCACTGCACCCCCCCTCCCAACAGGGTCACACTAGCTCTAACTGTACCGGAACTCTCTGTGTAGACCAGGCTGGACTTGAACTCATAGAGATTTGCCTGTCTCTGCCAGGATTAAAGGCGTGTGCCACTATTCCTGGCGCTTCTTTCTTTCTTTCTTTCTTTCTTTCTTTCTTTCTTTCTTTCTTTC